ATTAGATGAATGGAATAACTCGTTGTGATGTATTACCAACCAATGTGACTTAGACAACATCAACACACATGCACACAAAATAGCTAAGTCATTGCATGCCCACAGCACCCTCCGTCCCTTATTTTACACTACCATTTGACACACCAAACGAACTCCGATTGAGCTGAAATTTGGGTATGTGCTAGATCTCATTCGGGAAAATCTTGATAATTCTCAATGGTGCCCAGGGCCAAAGGTGTACACTCAATCATGACTCTAACCCTTTCACCATGAGCATATTTACCCAAATTTTCTTAGTTTTCGTATGGGCTATACATTTATACTATTCTAATCATCATACGTTGTTCATTACACACCGTGGTAGTATACATGCATATTGAAACAAGTTTGGGGGATTTGTGAATTACGTGCTTTTCATTTCATGCGATTTCTCGCTGTACAACAAGACATTTAATGCTAGCTATTTTCCAACTTTGCAGGATGCCACCAAAAAGAACTTCAAAAGGGAAAGAAAAGATTGGCTCATCATCCGGCACGGCACGTACTCAAGTGCTTGAAGGAGGGATACAGATATTTTTGACTTCCGAGGCAGCAGCCCGATATGAAAATATAGTGAGTCGATGGACAGTGACACCAAAGCGGGCTGTTAAATTGGAAGACTTTCCCGATTTCGCGCTGACCACTTTGGTGCATAACTGTGGATGGGGTAAAGTAGTGGAGCAGCCACATCGGATTTATGAATTGTTGGTAGGGGAATTTTACGCCAACTTCAATACAAAAATTGACACACCAGGGTCCGACCACCTGCATCAGACTTGGGTCAGGGGAAAATGGATCACATTTTCACCCGAGGTTATTCAAGACTACTACCAGCTCACGTGGGACAACATAACCCCTATACCAGGTGATTTCAGTAGGCATGAAGTGGCGAAGATCTTATTGGGGCGACAAAATGCATGGCCACTCCCACCATTGAGTGGCACTAGATTGAGCTGACACCATCTATAGCCATCATGTGGCTGTTTATGTGCCATAACATTGAGCCGACCTCTCACAGGACCACATTCACAAATCCCACAGCTGGATTCCTTTATCACTTGGTGCGAGGTAATAAGGTTGATCTTGCCACTCTCTGCTATAATCAGATTCATCATGTGGGTACCTTGGGAGACAGGCACGGCTCAATGATCTTTCCAAGCCTCATCTTCGGAATATGCATAGCTGCTGGTATAAACATTGCATCCGGGGAGTGGCTGCCAAACCCAGCCCCATCATAAGGCGCAGTACCTTGGAGGCTCAAGACAGAGCCAGGATAAAGCACTGGAAAAAGTAAGAAATTGAACGGCGTAGACAGCAGGAAGAGCAAGGTCACGAGCACGCAGAGCAAGAGATGCCTCAAGCTCCACCACCACAGGTTGAGATAAATGCACAATTGTGGCGCCAGATTTTCACCACCACCATGGGAACCAGCCGAGACGTACAGAGTCTCCAGCAGGCTATGGGGACTTTGACGACTGAGATGCATACAGCCCACCGTGACATCTGCATTTCCACTGATATGTCACGTGCTGCTCGCCAGGATGCCTAGGCAGCTAGGAGGGAGATGGAAACTATGAACGGTCGACTCAATGTGTATGTGGGCAGGGTGGATGACATCCAGATGAGGGTAAATGAAACTTGGGAGCGTCTGGGTCGATAGGAAACACGTGTTGAGGGAATCCATGATGAAATGACACAGCAGTCAGCACTGATGAGAGAGATCTTGGCGCGCCTACCTCCACCTCTAGCTGATGGTACTGCAGGTTCTAACTTTCCATCGCAGCCCCCGTATTGATCAGGGGAGTATCGTTTGCCTCATTTGTACTCATTTTCCTTAAATTCTGCCATCTAAACTTTAATTTTCGCATTGAGGACAATGTCTTGTATAAGTTTGGGGGATGGTGGCATAATTTGAAAAAGACATTCGGCATGTAATTAATTGTATTTCCACAATCCAGATTTAATTTGACTGATTGTTGCATGATGCATGCTTGTGAGTGAATATTGATTATGCTTATGTATGCTTGTGTGAGTTTAATCGCCTTGCCGGCTATGATGTTACTATTGGATTGGTATATTTTAAAACTTTGGAGTCGGTGTTAATTAGGCCAACTAATACTTGCTAATGTAAACTTGACATTCTTTATGCACGCCATTCATGCTTTACATGTTAGGTAAGTGATTGGGGTTTTGAGCAAAAAGTAGGAAAATAATTATAACCCTCTATTGAATTAACCCGTAAACTACTTTAAGACAGTTTGGTAATAGTTGAGCTATTATAGGAGAACATTGAGATAAGTGAGGCTCCGTGCATGAATTATTGTGTGGATTGCCTAGATCAGTGAGATGAAGAGTAGGTGAAAATCTTAAATTGAGGGTTGGTTTTGGATACCAGATGTCTAGAAAAATAAGGGCATAAACTTAATTTGTGAGAATAAGACACTTCTTTTCATGCCTTTATGACTCGAGCAAGTAAGCTTGTAAGGATATTTCAAAATCTGGTGCCCTAAGGTCAACTGATCTGGGAGTCACCGGCCCAGAGCTCGATACATGGGTCATATAGAAAGCAAGAGGTAAAGAGGTTAATAAAAAGTCATCTGATCGAGCCTTTATAACTCGAGTGAATAAGCCTGCAAGGGTTTAAAACCTGGTGCCCTAAAACCAACTGGTTTGGGAGTCACCGGCCTAAAACTCGTTACATGGGTTATACAGAAAGCAAATGAGAAGATGATAAATAAAAAAAATATAATAATAATAATAATAATAAACCAGAAAACCAGAGAAAAGTGAGAAAAACAAAAAGAGACAATAACAAGAAGAAAAGCCCTTGGACATTTGGTGGAAGAAACTATACCTTTGAGGCGAGACAAGTAACCTAGTTTAATCTTGAGTGTCGAAGCAATCAAAACTAGGAAAGCCTTCACTTGTTGACATGTGAACTTGTGATAGTGAGATTAATCCAAACTACGAGAGGTGAGAACTATAGCTAGGTAAACTCATAATTTTTAAAACACAACCTTGGGATAATTGAGTGAAAAGAATAAGTTTGGGGGGTTGTGTATCTCTCGAGCGAGTAAGGAGACATTTGACCACTTGGGACCAGGACTCAAACTCATCATGAACTTGATATGTTAGCATGAATCCACACACACACGTCAAGTATGCACTTAACAGGTAAAGGTTGACGTTAAGTATGCAATTAACAGGTAAAGGTTGATGTCATTTTGCACTGATAAATTTTCATAAAATCAATTACTTAGTCCAATCCTGAGCCAAGACAAGGTGTTAAGCCATGTTTATTCAGAATTATATCACTATCTTGTTTGAGGACAAACAATAGTTCAAGTTTGGGGGGTTTGATAAGTGTGTTTTTGCACACTTATTTACATCACAAACATGACTTAAATACAAGTAAAATGATTGAATTGTGACTTAATTTTGTCGAATTCATGCAATGTAGGTGATTCTATGAAAATAGTGGAATTCAAGAGAAAAGAGCCGAAAAAGGACCAAATTGGAGCAAAATGAAAATTCAGGGACCAAATTGTAATTATCTGAAAGTTGATCCGATGAACACATCAAGCAATTGATCATGCTAAGCACCAATTAGAAGTTATAATGGAACATTGGAGCAACTAGAAAAAAGAGAGGAGGTCAATGAATGAAGGAATGAAACTTAAGGATCAAAATGACTCAATTTGGAAGTTCACTCTACTATGCGGTCGCATAGTAGAAAAGCTATGCGGTCGCGAGTAACCCTCCAGGGATTAAAAACGCCAAAATCCATATACCTATGCGGTTGCATGGGTTATGCCTATGCGGTCGCATAGGTATAATTTGTGCTAGATTTTTGCAGTTTCCTTATATGATTGCAACTTCTTTGTTAACCTAATTTTGACGGGTTTTAATAGCAAATAAACATCTAGAAGCCGGCAGGAACGAATTGGGAGGCAAAAACATTCATTTTGAAGAGGATTTGAAGGCAAGAACAAGGATTGATGCAAAGATTTACAAGATTTCTTTAAGTTTTGATAACGTGGTGATGTATTTTATTCAAAACTTGATAGATTTCGTTATTTTTGTCATGATAGGCTAGATTTCTGTAACTAGGTGATCCATGAACCATGTAATTATTATTAAACTTGTTATTTCATGACTTTGAATTCATAGTTCGATGGGATCATTTGAATGAATTATATTGATTTATTTGTTTCCACAATTAATGTGCATTCAATTTGTGTGAATTTGGTGGTTTAATTCTGAATTTGAGAAAATTGGATTAAACTCAACATATATAATTCATCATAGGGTTCGATAGGGGATAGAAATATACCCCTATGCCCTATGTAAATCTTTAATTGCTCACAAAAAATTACATGCATTCTTGTATAATTGCATCCGTCATAGAAATATAGGCCGGTGATTTATGAGAATAGGTTCAATACATCTCGAGAGAGAGTATTGAATAGATTTAGGAGCATTGATTTGTCAAATTCTCATTGGATTATCAAAATTGAGAAATTAGGGTTTACTTAAAAATTATTTGGGAATTCATGATCCTAGTGCATTCGTTTTACATAGATTTTCATAAATTGACAATACATTTCAGTTATTTTCATAACATTTTCGTAATTGAGTCATTCGTTAAGTGAATTTGAGTAATTCGGGTTTAATTTGAAATTAGGGTTCTTCAATTTGGGGATTTCTTCCAAAATTAGGGCTTTTAATTCTAAAATTAATTTTAAGTCAATTAGTTTCGGTTAAGGCTAAAATAAATAAAATTGAACTACTCTTTCTCTGTGGGACAATACTCGGACTTCTAAAGTCCACTTTATTACTTGTCACGACCCGTACACTTGCAGTAATTTAAATCGAAAGAAATATTTCGTGAAGAGACACTCATAATGTCATAAAGTTAATTTTACAGCTGCTGTTCTTCATGACAGTTATAAGACCTCAACAAATAAATAGGGTCAAGGTTTCGAAATAATTTCTACAGATGAAAGACCTATAGGTGCCCGATAGAAGGTTATATTATGCATTTAATTGTTATTTTGTTTCTGTACTTCTATCTGTTTTCTGCAGACCTGTGTAAGCTTATTTATATCAAGTGTGAATACCAATGAAATATGTTTTGTTACCTTTTTATTTCTGGTAAAGGGAGAAGCTTTGAACTTTTGCATCATTTGGGTTTTCAGTTAATACTTCGCTTATGGTTTCCTTCATTTTAATTCCCAAAATTATTGCATCTATGCTGGTTTCTTTGGTAGAACTTCTTTCTGACAATTGATTGTTACTAACAGATTGATGATCTGGTCATTTGTTATTTGGTGAAGAGTCAAGAATAATGCCCACACTATCTAAAAACAATGATCGGCAGCTAGAAACAGAAGCACAGAACTTTTAATCATTAACACTGTATGCACAGCCTTGGGGACATGGTTTGGGAAACAGTGGCATGGTTCGTACAGGGGAACACGCTGATGAATCAATCAGCTCTGGGACTTCAGAGCCACAAGGCAATGATAAAGGGAGTGTTAAAGAAACTGAAATCAATGCCCCATATTCTGGTAGTTTCTTTGCTTTACATTACTTTTTCATGTAAATTTAGAGGCAATCAAATTGTTTGATAGGCATACTTATCTCTTGTTCAATAACAATCTTGGCCCCTCCAATTTATATGGTGTTTCAGTCTTGAACACATTATAATTTAATTTTATAATCTGATAACAAATTTCTTTCTTCTAATTTAACAAATGCAAGGAAACGGAGGTTACCTTTTCTTGAGGGCATGCTTTTTGTGTGATCTTGTTTAATCATCCTACTGATAGGCTCCAATCAACCTCGTGCATTCTAGAAGGACCTAGGAGAAGAATAACTTGCAAGTGGAGAAAAACTAGTCTGTTGGAGCGTAAAAATGGGAGGGAAAATCAGTTATAAGTAGCTTATAAATAAGGAAGAGTTGGAGGAGAAGAGGAGAGCAGAAAATTGGGTAGTCACTTAGGAGAGAATTGGCTCTCTCGAAAAGCCAAATACCGTTGTTCTTCTTTTATTTCCTTGATTTCCAATTTCTGAATCTGCTCCACTTCCAGCAGGTTCATGTCCATTTTATTTACGGTTCAAGAGTAAGATAATTCGATTACGTTTAAGTCTATTTCCGGTTCCCTCAATTTGTCTCAAGAGTATTGTGCGAAGTGAGATTATTGCAGGGTTCTATCACCTACTTGTTTCTGTTGTCTTTCTGAATGTTCTGATGTTAGTCCTATTATAGGAATAAGATCATGAAATTGTCCATTTTTCTCTCCCGAATTTGGACGCACAATAGTTGATACGTACTTGATTAGTGGATCGTAACAAAACCATTTTACTTGTTTGAAGTTGGCATGATACTACTTTCTGAAGTCTTTTAATACTTTTGGCTCAATTGAATGATGAAACTCTGTTAATGTGGACTAAAATTTCCCTTACATCTTTCATTGGTTATGGGCAATCTAATGTAGTTCCTTATGGTCCTAGGAAAGCATGTGTTTAGGTATTTGTGCCTGTTAATTGTATTTTATCATGCTAATAATTCATATTCGGTTCAGGATCAAATGGAAGTAGTTGTCAGGAGCAGCAGCAGAAGCTTGATATCAATTCCCAGATGGAACTCATTGGTCATTCAATCATAAGATTCTCTCTCTCTCTTTTAAGTGGATATCTCATCTCTGTTTTCTTTTTGATTCATAAAATAAATATTGTTTATCGATTTGCCATTCTACTCATATACATGACGCCCTAAAAAACAATATTTAATATTTAAAATTTATTCAGCTCTTTCTTCTCTAATTGTATGTATTGCTCCTTTGAGTGCAAATCACATTATTAACTCTCATTCTCACACACTCTCTCTCTCCTTCTTTTTTTTTATTTTTTTATTTTTGGTTTCTCCTCTCCTGGTGTTATTTGATTGTTCTAATAGAAAAGCTGACAGCAGTGCGATTCCTCATTTGACATCCCTCATCATTCATACTTCAGGCACACCTCTTCTTTGGGGAGGCCTTCTTTTCACTTTTGAAATTGCTAACACATTTGAAACATCAATTTTAAGACTGGTGAACTACTTCATGTCGTTCTTTTTAACCATGTCTATTTCATTCTCTGTTTAAAATATTGCCAATGCCTTCTTTTGTCTGAAGCAGTATACAATCTCCATGCATCTGCTGGTTGTGGCACAACTTCAAAAGAATTTGCATTGCTTTATTTGGCTAAACTGCAACAGTTATCATAGGACTCTTTGTTCAGTTCAAACTTCCTCAGCAAGTACCACAGCAGTTCCTTGAATATCTTCCAGCGAGAATGCCTTTGCCTCTCAATATGGAAGAAGAGCCTGTATATGTGAATGCTAAACAGTATTATGGAATATTAAGGCGATGACAAATAAGAGCGAAAGCAGAACTGGAGAAGAAAGTGATTAAAGTCCGGAAGTTAACATAATGCCTCCTCTCCCAAATTGCATCCTAAGTCATTCTGCAATGTCTACGTACAAAATGATGTTAAGGAATATAATAATTTTTGTAGATTTTTAGGTTTTGTTTCATTACCACACTTACTCTGAATTCACATACATGGATGTCAAAGTGCAGTTTAACATTTTTGAGTGTGGTAGTTGGAAGGAAAAAAGAAACTTGGACGTGGGCATGAATATCTTGCTTGGGATTTTGGCTTACTGAGTTAGTTTCAATTTTCATTTTGCTTTAATTACTGGAAAGTCAGTTTAGAATCGAGCTTAAGAGGTGTCTATAAATAAAATAAAATAAAACATGTAGGAGAAAATATCGGGGAAAAAGGGACAGGATGACACCTATGTTTAATATATGCTGGTAAATGCACCTATATCAATGTTTTTAGATTATTGAATCTGTATTTTAGGCATCCTTCTAGTTCATATTACAGTTTTAGGTCCGTTGAATGAATGATGAACAATACAAACCTTAGAAATCCAATATACGGGTGATGGAAATTTGTGAAAGTGATTGTGTTTTGTCTTTACATTACGGAATGAAGATCCTTGTGGTTTTTATGGTCTGAAACTGGGGAGGTTATTTCTTTAGAAAAGTTACAGGTTGGCGGTGCCCTCTCTCCCCATTTAGACACAAACATATATGTATAGCTATAAACAGATATTGGTTGGTCGCAAGAGTGTGTATATGGTTTCTTTACATATACCGACCATCATCGAAGTGCATAATTACAAATCTAGATCTTATTAGGACATGGTGATTGTGAACCTTAGCATTTGCAAGTATAATGAAATGGTTACATTGATGATATCACTGGTTTAATGGCTTTGACGAAATGTGATTGTCTTGGTTGAAGTTGAAGGATATGTTTGGTGATCAGATGCTATTGAGGGTTCTCTGAAGAGATATACTTGGTCTACAAGTACTTTGCAATCTCAACATGATAAAATGACAAGGAAACACTCCGAGGCACATACTAGCTAAGTCTTTTGTGGAAGTAATCTACCAACTTTAGTTAGAAGCTTTTTCTGAGCAAATAATATGAGGATCTTTTGTATTTTATGAAATGATCTATGGAGATTGGGAACAAAGGATGTGTCAGTAACCTGTCTGACCAAGGTGCTTCATCTCCTTTCACACTTCTATACTCCTAATCCAGGCCATGCAGACAAATATGGAGATTACTAGGAACCTTAAGGAATCCAATACTTACTATGATTGAAACTGTGCAATACATAATGATGAAATACCCAAATGCAAACCAAATTTCTTTTAACAAAGAATTATGTTGCCTATATACTTGTGATTTATTATTATTATTATTTTTATCAGGTAAATAAATTGTATTTATCAAAATTGTGGGTACAACTTGCAGGACTTCTAGATTGTTCATGCTATTATGTACTGATCAAAATGTCTTATGGTTAATAACCCAAAACTTTTGATAAGGTAAAAAAATAAAAAATAAGAAAGATATTAATAAGGTGATGGCGTATTGCATCCTAATTGAAGCAAGCTTAGTTCTTTATCTTTTGAATTTATGTGGCTAATAGATGCACCATCTGCCTTTATTTCTGTTGGTTTTTATTGTTGGATTCTTTTGTACTGTCATCTAGAAATTTCCCTAATCGTTTAGCTCAGGAAGTCCGTAATATTGATTGCTGCAGCCATATCTTCATGAATCTTGGCACCAGCATGCAATGAGAAGGGAAAGAGGCTCGGGAGGTCGATTCCTCAATACGAAAAAAGTTCCACTACTGAGCAGTCAAAAATTGTTCCTCCGCAGTCATGCAACTCGTCTTGTTCTAAGCACTTATCCTCCAACTTGATGGAATTTCTAGTAAACAAGATGGGGGATCCCTGGTTCAAGACAAACACAAAGAGCAGACTCTTTCAAATGGGAAAGACAATGGTCATGCACTATTTTTCAATTTGTCACAGTCGACTAGAAATGAACTGGCCAATGGACATCTTAATCAGGATAATTGGAACTTGCTGGTGAATCAAGTCCCCCATGGAGTTGCCCTCACCAAATGAGGAACCGCTCCAACCTACAAATGCATGGTTGTTGTCAGGTAATTCATTCTTGGCTTGGTTATTTGTACTATGCGTGGGATGAGACGAGGTAGGAAGGTTATACCGGGGTCTTCAGTCTACCATTATTTCCATTCTCTACCATCTCACCCCTTCTTTAGAGCAAGAGGAGAACCATCAAACCATCTGTAAATGTTGATGTGAATCCTTTCTGGTTGGAGAATCAATGTGATATTATGCATCTCATTTCAGTGCATTTCGATTCTTGGAGTTCATCTCATTGTCTTTGTTTTGTTGTACCGCGGCATCCCCATGGTAGTGAGGAGCAATGAAAATCTAACAATAGAAGCTGAGGAGAGTAGACATGGGATGGGATGATATTTTATAGATTAGTGGTGTCAAATGGGCTAGGCTAGGTCTTTGTTTGGCAAATTTTATCAGTTATTTATAAATGAATAAGCTTCATTTATTTATTTATTTTTATGACGGGGGAATCCGTAACCGCTACTTTTCGAGTGTGTACTGGGTAAACTCTCAAGCTGACGCAATAACCTGCAAACCACGCTAGCCCAATAAATCGCACTAGACAAACTCGGTGCAATAGATTCAACTTCATTTTAAATCTTACTACTGTGGGATGAAATAAAGAGCTTGTTTGAGCCTTTTTTTTTTTTTTTTCCTCAAGATGCATTTTGGAATGGTATTTTGATGGATAATGTGTGGATAAAAAATAAAGAAAATTTTAAAATTTTCTTGTAATATTATTTTATTGAAGAATTTGTGATTTAAAATCAGGATAAGAAAAATGTATTTTGAGAATAATGAAGACCAAACACGAGCATATATTATCTCGAATATGTTGCTCTCCTGATCGTCATTACAACACATTTTTACACCTTTAAATCTCTTTTTAAGAAGTGAGAAGATAGCAAACTCGTGAAAGGAGGGAGACTCTGGTAAAAGAAAGGAAATTTGAAAACTGCAGTCGGGCTCGGTTTTCTTTCTCTAATTTGACAAGTCAATGGGTCCGGTTTGTCAAACCTTTCGAACCCGATTTTGAAAGCTGAAACATTGGGGAAACCCTAAAATAATAGCATTGTACCTGTCTCTCCCCCCTCACTCTATCTCTCTCTCTCTCTCCTGCGTGCTTCAGAAATTTCTTTCTAGCACAAAAATAATTGTGTAATCCCTCTATCTATTTCTAATGTTCTTGTGTGATTGATTGTATCTTCCTAATTTGCTCAACAAGGCTCTATCAAGGTTTGTGCGATTGTAAAATTTGGATTCGTCATTCCTATTATTTCAGTCAATCTGGTTCTTTTTTCAGCTCTCCACGAACTTCGTTTTTGTATATCCCGTTGATGAAACATTTAGTAATCTGAAATTTTGCATAATTGGGGCTCCCTCTTGCCATCTTTGTCGTAGGAGGTTGAGGAACCATTATTTTTTATGCCAGGTAGAAAATAGGCATTTCTGAGGGATATGATCCATCCGACCCAATTTTTATTTATTTATTTATTTATTTATTTATTTTTTCGTTTTTAAGATTTTGATCAATTTGAGTTTTTTCAAATTATTGTATATATGATTTTCATAAATATTACAATTATTCTCTGGTTCTTTCCAGTTTGACAGAAAACAAAAATAGAAAATTGCGTTTGATATGCTGTTTTCAGTTTTGAATTTTGCAAAACACCGAAAATGTTATTTGATTTAGTATTTTTGAAAATAACATAAAACTCAAAAATCATTTTTTGTTGTGAAAAGAGAGAAAAAGAAAAGGGAATATAAAAAAGTCATTGACTTGTATATTTTATTGATAATCAAGATTCGTATTTCTAATATTTAAAATGAGAGTTACAATCAAAATGAATTAGAGTTTCTAACTTAGATAAGATTTATTTATGCAAGATGATAAGACTTTGTAATCATCAATATTTATTTTATGGTTTTACAACATTTTCAATGTTTTGATTGTTTTTAGTAAAAATTTTGAAAACACTCAAAACATGAAAAATAAACGATTGAATAAAAATTTATTTAAATAAAATTTTTAGGCTCCATTTGATATACGTTAATGTAAAAATGAGAATGAAAAATATAGTCGTTATGGACCCACACAAAAGATAAAAGTCAAATATGGTGACTTGATGCGATGAATAACGGTCATATTTTTCATTTTAATGGGCAAAAAATGATAAACAAACAAGGCTAAAATAAATTAATTTTTTTTTTTTTTAAATTTCAAACCAAATGTGTTTTTTTTTTTCCACTTTAAGATATAATGTTTTTAAAAAAATAACAAATTAAATGTATTTTTAGAAATCTTAAAGTAGATCCTCAGAAAAGAAAACTGAAAATAAACTCAAAAATGAAATTGAAACACAAACCAAATCGGCTCTTAAATTTATTTTTTTATTTTTTACTTAATTTTAATTTAGACAAGACATATATATTTTTACCTCTTAGTATAATTATTTTTACAAATCCGATTTTTCTTTCGAAAAGATAAATAAATAAATAAAACAAGCTTTGAATACCAACCTTGTTGCATCTTTTAGTACTGTAATTATAATACTTTAATTTTCTAAAATAATATAAATCTTAAGAGAATAAAAAAAAATCAAAATAGAAGAGAATGCTACTAAAGGCATAGTAGTTTTTATTAAATGATTCCAAAACTCATTTTTATTTGAAAGATTTTGGTCCTCAGCCTATGCAATTTCTTGATTTTGAATGCTCATGTAACAAAAATATTTATTTGACCATTATTGTTGAAATAATTATTATATCTTACTTTAAAATAAATAAAAATAAAAGTAAAGAGAAAAACACCTCTTTTATTTCGTGACTTTGCGTCCTAACATAACAAACCACGTTTATTTAGTATTTTTGTATTTATTTCTTTAGTAGTTTTACTGTGTGTTTTGAGAATTTTATTTATTTATTTAAATAATAGTAAGGGAATAATAATCATTTCAATTAAAAATAAACCTTCTGATTTCCATTGCGTAAGGATCAAAAGTCATAAAGTTACATAGGGATAGTAACATTCACACTAACTAAAAGGTAGGATTCATCATCCGTGGTTCATATTCTTAGTAAAAAATAATAATCAAATCGAGTTCTGGATTCCTTATGTCAATTTATGGACTAAGAAAGGATTTTTATCTTCAAAACTTGTTAGAAGGAATAGTGTAAGAGAAATCATAGAGAAATAATTGAATTTTCAAATACTTCAAAAATAACATGAGGTACTCGAAAATTGTCGAAGTAGTTCATCCTAACTTTCCCTAGTAGGAGGGATCATTTCCTATTTTCACTTAGATTTGTACACAATACATGCTCAACCAAATACAACACTAGTCAACCATTATTATAATACAATGTAACACCGAATACGAATATTACAATAATATACCGTAATCCACGTTATTACATGCCTCCACCGTAATAATATCAAGCTAGTACCGTTCACCCTAATATAGTATCATGTACCAAGCACGCATTGTTTTTTGGCACGGGTTTGCATAAACATTAACGATTAACTAAAAGTGAGGCTGTGGCTCTCAAAATTCACCTTCTTCTTGTGTTGTGAATAATTGTGATCATCAGAACATGTGACTATTCAAAGCTTTGCCTGTTCTTGAAGTTGGTCCTGTTACAAAGAAGTTAAATGAAAAGATACAAATAGAAAATGAAAGCTGTCATTGAATTATTTCTAGCACGCGAAATATGAATTTGTCACTCCGAATTTGAGAGAGAGAACCATGGTATCAAGTTATTGCTAAGAATACAGACGTAATTTGGAAGAAAGTCCTGAAAACTTATAACAAGAATCAAGGTAACTACCCAGCATAGATATTTGGTAAATGAAAATCTCACAAATTATGTAGCCACTTGGGACGACCTTAAGAGGGCACTCCTCTCAAGCGTAGTGCAAGTCGCCAACTTAGGCCATGGGCTTTCTTGATAGCTCATTGACCCGGTCATGGGCTTTCTTTGGTAGATTTCAGTTCTACTTACCACTACAGCTTGTCAAAATGTTAAAGAAAATACTATTCCAACCTTAAGTTCCAGAGATTTGCTTCATATAAACATGGCATATTCTTTCTGAATGCAGTAAGCCCGTATCTCCGGTTGATTAACATCTTACCATCTTAAAGTAGACAAGACAAACATGAATTACTTTATGTTTGTGGATACATCGATTAAGTAATTAACAGATATCCATTTATGCAAACATTCTACCTGCATGCAATCCTTCTGATAATGTATCATGAGAAACTGGTTCAAATATTATTATGAAAGAGGGGGACAAATGCACTATAAAGTCGCTAATTCTAACAGGCGCAACAACTCTATCACCCTAAGGTTGATAGCTCATTGACCCAGTCATGGGCTTTCTTTGGTAGATTTCAGTTCTACTTACCACTACAACTTGTCAAAATGTTAAAGAAAATACTATTCCAACCTTAAGTTCCAGAGATTTGCTTCATATAAACATGGCATATTCTTTCTGAATGCAGTAAGCCAGTATCTCCGGTTGATTAACACCTTACCATCTTAGAGTAGACAAAACAAACATGAATTACTTTATGTTTGTGGATACATCGATTAAGTAATTAACAGATGTCCATTTACTGCAAACGTTTTACCTGCATGCAATCCTTCTGATAATGTATCATGAGAAACTGGTTCAAATATTATTATGAAAGAGGGGGACAAATGCACTATAAAGTCGCTAATTCTAACAGGCGCAACAACTCTATCACCCTAAGGTTGATGGGATTACTTATGAGGATGCGCAGGATATGGAGAATCAGATTGTGAGATTTTATCAAAATCTCTATCGGGAAGACTTTGACTGGAGACTAAAGGTGGATGGACTGTACTTTTCATCTATCACGGAGGAGGATGCCAGCTGGTTAGAGAGACCATTTGCAGAAGATGAAATCAAGGATGTGGTTTTCAGTATGAATGAAGATAAGGCACTAGGACCGGATGGCTTCTCGTTCGCATTTTATAAGACTTGTTGGGAGGTGGTGGGACCGGACATTATAGATGTTATCACTTATTTTTTTGAGTACGGTAGGTTCCTGAGAAGTTCTAATGTCACATTTATTGTGCTGATTCCAAAGAAATCGGGAGCAGTTGACATTAAAGATTTTCGCCCTATTAGCTTAGTTAGTGGGTTGAACAAGATTATCGCGAAGATCCTTGCGAATAGATTGAAGGAGGTGCTGGGGAAAGTGGTGACTAAAAGTCAGAATGCTTTTGTGAAAGGAAGACAGATTTTGGATTTTGTGCTTATAGCGAATGAATGCGTCGACTCTCGATTGCGTCTGGGGGTGCCAGGAATGTTATGTAAACTTGATATTCAGAAGGCTTATGATCACGTGAACTGGGGGTTCCCTCTGTACATCCTCGAGCGATGTGGCTTTGGGGAAAAGTGGTGCAAGTGGATTCAATTTTGTATCTCCACCGTTTCATTCTCCGTTTTGGTCAATGGCAACTTGGAGGGTCATTTTCGAAGTAATAGAGGTTTAAGGCAAGGGGCTCTCCTATCTCCGTTGCTGTTTGTGATAGTTATGGAGGCAATTAGTAAGATGCTTGAGAGAACTGTGGAAGAATGATTGCTAAGGAGCTTTACGGTTGGACACTTATAGGTTTCCCATTTGCTATTTGTAGATGATACACTGATCCTCTGCGATGCAGATAATGAGCAGTTCAGGAACTTGCGTCGGCTACTTTTATTTTTTGAAGCGGTGTCGGGATTGAAGATTAATTTAAGGAAATCCGAGATCATTCCAGTGGGAGAGGTTGCTAACGTGGATGAGTTGGCCGATATATTGGGTTATAGGGTTGTGCAGTTGCCTGTGTCATACCTTGGGCTTACTTTAGGGGCAAGGTTTAAAAGTAAACATATCTGGAATGGAGTTGTTGAAAGGGTGGAGAAGAGGTTAGCGGGGTGGAAGCGCATGTACTTTTCGAAGGAAGGTCGCCTTACTCTCATTAAATCTACTCTGTCCATCTCCTGACTTATTTCTTGTCACTGTTTCCTATCCCTGGTACAGTGGCAAACAGATTAGAGAGGATTCAAAGAGAGTTTCTTTGGGAAGGGCTAGGGGAAGAGAGGAAATTTCATTTGGTTAATTGGGGTGTGGTTTGTTCTCCTGTTAGGATGGGGGGCCTTGGAGTGAGGAGCCTTGTTCTATTTAATAAGGCTTTATTTGGCAAGTGGTTGTGGCGATTTGGAGTAGAGAGGGAGAGTCTTTGGAGACAAATCATAGGAGCGAAGTTTGGTGTGATGGAAGGGGGTTGGTGCTCGATCGAGGGTCGTGAATCTTATGGGGTGAGTATGTGGAAGTATATCCGATGAGGATGGAATGACTTTCGGGAGAAATTGACTTATGTGACGAGGATTGACAATAGTATCAGATTTTGGGATGATTGTTGGTGTGGAGATCATCCGCTAAAGGCACGGTTTCCTTCTTTGCATCGCATTGCCTTGGAGTCTACCGCTATAGTGAATGATGTCCTAGCCATACATAATGGAAATTATAGTTGGAATATTGCCTTCGAGAGGGGTTTGCAGGATTTGGAACTGGATGATTATGCACTGCTTTTGACCTCCTTACACGAGGTGCATATTAAAGTGGGAGAGGATGATAGGAGCAAATGGAAGTCGGGGCGGGATGGTATTTACTCAGTCTGCACTTATTTTAGATCCATATTGGGATCGACGGAGAGTTCATTTCCTTGGAAGATGGTGTGACAATGTAAACTGCCTCCACGGGAGGCTTTCTTGTTATGGACGGTTTTGAGGAGGCAGACATTAACGGTGGATAATCTTCATAGAAAAGGTTTTTACGTTACCGAATGGTGTTATATGTGCAAGAGAGACGGAGAAACGAATGACCATTTGTTCCTCCATTGTGAAGGTGTCCGGTGGTTGTGGAACACTATTCTAACTTCCCAACATATGGATTGGGTGATGCCTAGGCGTATGGAGGATGTGTTGCGGGCATGGAGCAGAAAATTTCGAGATAAGGATAGTGGGCTTGTGTGGAACCTTTTTCCGGGATGCATTGTATGGTGTGTATGGAGAGAAAGAAACATCCGTTGTTTCGAAGACCAAGCAAAAACAACAGAGCAAATTAGAGAATGGTTTTATATGACTTTGTATACTTAGTTAAAGCTGCAGCCACAAATTATGTAGAAGAGCTACCAAACTTTATGTCGTTTCTTTCCTGTTTAAATTGATAATACACCCCTCATGTATTATCTACTAATAAAATTACTTGATTACGTATCAAAAAAAAAAAAAAAAAAAAAAAAAAAAAGAAACTGGTTCAAACATCTAGTCTATACGATTTGCATTCTAGCTTCGTTTATCTGTCGGTGTTTTTAACTAGAAGAATACACAAAAGGAAACAAAAAAGAAATAAAAATGGATAAAATTTACCTCTGTCACGAACAAAGCATGAAATCCGTATGGAACTCTCTTGGGCAATTCAACAATGGCAACAGGATCAGGTGACATCGTTTTTGCATCAATTATGCTCACTGCCGACTTTCTGTATATGTGATCAAATATGAGTAAGGGTAAGCATACTGCATTTGGATTTGCAATACAAGTCAAGAGTCCAAGCCAAAATGACCCCAAACAGTGTATCAGAGGGAGATAGAGACAAGTACCCAGTGTTCTCATCGTGTACAAAGAAAATCAAGTAGCCATCGTCTTCTTCAGATGTAGTACCAGGATGCCGGGGAACAAAGACAGCCTCTGAACCAAATCGTCCAGGTCCCAGATCAAAGATACCTTTAACATTTCCTCCAACTTCTAAGTTTTCTTTTCCAGTCTCTGGTTCTGCATGCAAATCGAACTTGATAATCCCAGTTACCTTGGCAATCTTGTCCAGTGTTGTTCCATATACGTATCGCTGTTTCCTAGATACATAAAGCAATTGTGATTATGCAGATATCATTATAATCTAAATATGACAAAAAAAATACAGGAAATAGAGATGGAATTTAGCTAAAAAGCAATAAGGATAACATCTATCATGACAGATGCAACTGAATTTATAGTGTCATTGACCCAAAATTGCTGAATATCATTGATTTTCATGTCCAGCTTCTCCACTGAAATCATTCAGATGCAAATTCCAAATCATTAACAAAGTTTATAAGACATTTACCTCGTAGTATAACTTTCGTTCACCCTTGGAAAATCTACAGCAGATACAGATAATTTTTTCTGTGAAGCCAGACCATTTTTGAGGTTGAACCTCATCTCATACCTGATAGACATAACTAGAATGAGAATTCATCTTTCAGAAATGAAATATTATAAAGACATCTATCAGCTTTGAGCTCTCCTACAGTTCGTTTTTGAGATTCTCAAGCTTTTCTTTAACGGCGCCATTAACCATATCAAGATCTGGATTCTCAATGCGACAAGTGATAAGAACAACTTCATCTCCTTCCTCCCAAGCATTTGCTGATAAAAATAATCGAAATATAAATACATGAAATGTGTGAGGACTGGTAACATCACAACTACGGCACAAGATTCTCATCATGATATACGGATAAAACTTGAGAAATGCAAGGAATGAACACAGGAGAAATCATGCGCTCGCTCGCTCTCTCTCTCTCTCTCTCTCACTCTCTCTCTCTCACACACAAACACACACACCCTCCCACCCCCTCCCACCAGTCATTGTTGTAAAAACAAGGTAAGAAGAATCATGTAAATGATAGAATCAGAGGATGAATATGCATGTAACTGCTTGGCTTCAGATATTATCTTTTAACACCTTTGTGCAATTGTATTGGTTCTTTTAATTTAATTTGCTTATGGACTCTGTGATAGCTGATTTAGAAAATAAATTTTATTGCCTTGCTACTATCATTCTTTACCTTTGAACTGAAAATGTTTAGTTTTATCTAAATTTAACAGTAGTTGCAACCAGTGAACACATTATAGATTATCATCCATTTCAGTGTTCAAAGCTGATTGATTAAATTTGCTGATCTAAAAAAGGAGTGGCATAGACTAATAGGTCATATGGGACAATGTAATATCATTTATATTTGAAAAAATATATCCTCTTGATGATGTGGAAAGTTCAGGATTCTATATTACTAGTGAATAAATTTGAAATAGATCGTGTAATCGCTCACCTTCTAGGCTGCTACAATCTTGTTCAAATATAGTTTCTTTGCATTTTGGTTATTTTCCATTTAAGATTTTTAAAAACTCAATCACCAAACTCTGAAAAAGGTGTCACTTTAGTCACTGAACCATTTTTTAACATTTATGGTCACCAAACTAACAAAGTTGTTTCAATTAGGTCAAGACCACATATCCTTCAGTCGACTTATTGGATTTGGGTGATGTGACCAATTACGAGACTCATAAAGATAACATAAATGACATCAGGGATAAAAATCAACCAAATTAATATCCAAAATTGCCTTTGATCTCTACATCGAATGAATAAAATGATAAATGAGAGAGTTTAAAACGTTTAAATAAGTGATGTTAAACAGAAATTGTGTGTAAAAATATTTTTTTAGATTATAAATATAATCCCACTAAGGCTATCTTCTAGATAAGGAACACTGTCAGACACCTTAACGAACCCATTAATTAACAAACGGATATGTGAAGACTGAAAAGCGACTAAACTAAAATAATGGTGACTATCTATGCCAAAAAAAAAAAAAAAGGTTTGATGACTAAAATGAGACCTTTGGAACGTTTAATGACCAAGAAGTTTTTAACTCAAAAGATTTTGATAGGTGCTGATTTGCTTCAACCGAAATTGTTTTCTCCTAGATAACAACATTGTCCTTCATGAGAAGATAAACAGTCCTGAGCAAAGCTAGAGCTCTATGTGAAATCCAAGCTAAAAAAAAAAAAACTACTGAGTGACTGACAATGTCATTATGTATTAACAAGTGAGCTTGTTCTAGTTCTTATGAAACTGATATTAGACCCTTGAAAGAGAAAAAAGTACAGGGAGCATTTTCATCTGTAAATTCTTTTAGGCATATACAAAAGCAAAGTTCCTCACCATTATGGAATATGAAGCAATTTGGAAGCTCAAACCATTTGATTAGGAGTTCATTTTTTGCATACCGCGGAAGTATGCCAAAACGAGCTTTCTGTGTAGCATCAAAGCTGAAAATAAACTTTTTATCCTTCACCATTTCCTGAAAATATGAAGATGGATAGTGAAGTATGATTATGATGAATGATTTGATCAACGAGTATCCTGGTAGGAAACCTATTTATGAGATGCCAAAAGATTCTAGGAAATGATGTTGATTTTCAAAAGTTCCAAAATCAGCAATAAGGGATCTCTTGACAGACCAAATAGAGTCAACTAGAAATTGACTTTTATGTTTATCTGAAATAGATTACAAGTCATAAAAGCTTTAAATACATTAGCAATAGTATTTTCTGTCAGTTATAGTAGTAGTACCACAACAGTAAAATTCTATTTAAAAGAAATAGATAGAAGTCACATAGAGTTTAGATAACAAACACTGATTACAATCAAGCCCAATGAGTTTTGAAAATGTTAAACATGTCAACCCTCCATCTGCTGTAGAATGTCTTGGTAAACTTTTGTGGTCAAATGGATAGTCTTATGCCTATCGTTTCACCACTTTATTTTTTTGAAAAAAAAAAAATGATATAAAATGATAATATTTAGTGGGAATTTTTCACCATTTAAGCCGTTTTTTGTGGGAATTAAAATTAAATTTTTAGTAGATTTTCATAAAAGTTAATAAAATGTGTAGTTAAAATGTGTGAGTTCCATAAAATATGGTTAAAATTAATTATTGATTTTGACTTAGATCCTTGATTTTAATCAAAACCACACTAAGTAACTACATAAATAAGAAACCGATTGTTTGACTGAAAAGTCAACTAAATCGTGGATAGAGGGAGTATTTGATTGACTTATATTGGAATTGAAAGGAAAAAATGAGATGAATGAGAAAAAAAGATGTATTCTATATTTCTGAATAATATTACGAGTCTCCTGTGCTCAATATATAGTACAATAGGGAATGACGGGAAAGGAATGTAATCTTCTAAATAAAGAAAAAAATAAAATAAGGAAAAAACAAAATTATTCCTAACTAAAAATGACAAAATATTCTAGTATCCCATAATTTTGGGATTTTGGGATTTCTTCACTCCCCCTCAAGTTTGATCATAGTTATTGATCATGTCCAACTTGCAAATACACTCATCAAAAGTTTGTCGATGTAGTCCTTTAGTGAAGATGTCCGCAGTCTGATCTTTGGTTGGAACGTATATCATACAAATAGTTCCATTTTCAACTTTCTCCTTCATGAAGTGTTTGTCCACTTCTACATGTTTAGTTCTGTCATGTTGAACTAGATTGAGAGATGTTGATAGCTGCTTTATTGTCGCAGTATAGTTTGATTGGGACTCTCACTGTGACTTGCAATTCTTCTAAAAGTTTCTTAATCCACAATCCTTCACATATTCCTTAGGTAGCTACTTTGAATTCCGCTTCAGCACTACTTCTAACTACTACATTATGTTTCTTACTTCTCCATGTTACCAGGTTTCCCCAAACAAAAGTACAATAGCCAGTAGCTGATCTTCTGTCTTCTATTGACCCAACCCAATCAGCATCAGTGAATACTTCTACTTCCTTCTTTCCATCTTTCTTAAAGAGAGGCCTTTTCCAGGAGAACCCTTAAGGTATTTTAGAATCTTATATACTGCCTCCAGATGAGCTTCCTTTGGTGAATGCATGTGTTTACTTACCACGCTAACTGCAAATGCAATGTCAGGTCTAGTGTGCAATAGGTAGATTAGTTTTCCAACTAATTGTTGATACCTATCTCTTTCAACAAGTTTTCCACTGTCATCTATTTTCTTGTCAGTCTCTATAGGAGTTTCGATTGGCTTGCATCCAAGCATACCAATTTCAGTTAGTAAGTCCAGAACATATTTTCGTTGTGAAACACTGATGCCCCTTTTTGATCTGGCTACTTCCATCCCCAAAAAATGTCTTGATCCCAAATCTTTCACTTCAAATTCAGTGCCTAGGCTTCTTTTTAGTCTTTCCATCTCAATTGTATTGTCTCGAGTAAGGATTATATCATCCACATATACAATCAGAATAGCTTTTGTCCCATCTTCAAATAATTTGAAAAACATAGTGTGATCTGACTATGCTTGTTGATATCCCTGATTTCTTAATACTCTTACAAATCTATCAAACCATGCTCGGGGTAACTGTTTGAGCCCATACAGTGATTTTTTCAATTTACATACCCTGTTGTCTCCATTTTCTGTATAAAAATCAGGTGGTAGTGTCATGAAGACTTCTTCCAAATTACCATTCAAGAATGCATTTTTTATGTCAAAGTTGTTGGAGTGGCCAATCCAAATTTGCTGCTAGAGATAGAAATACTCGAATTGTATTCAACTTTGCTACCGGTGCAAACGTTTCTGTATAATCTATATCATAGGTCTGAGTATACCCCTTTGCAACAAGACAAGCCTTGTACCTTTCGATTGTCCCATGTGCTTTGTATTTGACATTAAATACCCATTTACACCCTACGGGCTTCTTTCCTTTTGGTAGTTATCACATCAAATTTCGAATCTTGGAGATAAGGTTTTATAAGCTATGAATTTAGATATAGGGTGCATGGTACATGATCGAGTTTGTTTCCTGAGAGCAATAGGCAGGTTAATGTCAGAGGTTTTAGAGGTGGTTACCTGATCGTCTAGATCTATTATCGGTTCTGACTCTTTTTGTGCCTCGAGTGTAAGGTCTTCCTTTTACTTTGACTTTGGCTTCCTTGAGTAAACCAACATCTCTTTGTCACGTTGTTCTTCTGCAACCCCCCTCCCCCCGAGTTTAAATTGTCTCATTTAGAGGATTCAATAGGACAAGGTGGTTTCGTAGGTATAGTGGTTGGGATGGATTCAGATGCAGAGAGAGTAATTTCCGAGAACCGATCTTCACTTAATTTCTCCCCCTGAAGAGAAGGTTTTTGGAAATAAGGAGTTTTTTCGAAAAATGTGACGTCATAGCTGATGAATACATTGTTTGTGGTGGGATCATAGCATTCCCTTCTGTGTGGGTGAATAACCAATGAATACACACCTAAGTGCACGAGGGGCTAGTTTGTTTCAATGATGAGAGTGGATATGTACAAATGTTGTACACCCAAACACTCTTAAAGGTATGCTTGATTGTAGGGGAGATTCGAGATTGAGGATACGACTAGGCATTCGCTTTATAAGATAAGCTGATATTAAAATGGCATCCTCCAAAATTTTGTAGGCATTTTTGTAGTGAACATTAGGGCATGGGCAACCTCAAGTAAGTGTCTATTTTTACGTTCAGCAATCCCATTTTGTTGAGGGGTATCGTCGCAAGAACTTTGGTAGATTATCCCATTTTCTTGAAGGTAGTTATTTAGGGTATTGTTGAAATATTCAGTCTCGTTATCAGTGCGCAGAATTTGGATTGTGGTTTGAAATTAGGTCTTTACCATCAAGTGGAAATTTATAAACACTGACCGGACTTCAGTTTGTTCTTTTAACATATAGATCAAGCAAATTCGTGTATGGTCGTCGATAGATGTGACAAACCATTTTGTGTGGGTGCGATTAGGGATTCGTGAAGGTCCCCATACATCACTATAAATCATGGTAAATGATTTGGATGACTTGTATGTGGATTTCGGGAATGAGGAGCGATGGTGTTTTGCGAGTTGACACATTTCACACTGAATCTCTAAAGAACTTTATTCGAGAATATTGAAGAAAATACCTGTTTTAAGTATTGAAATTTGGATGCCCCATTCTATAATGCCATAAAAGAATGTCGCTATCCATGGGAATAAATGCAGAATCACAACTAGCAAATTTACATTGTTTACTCACATCCGTCTCGTCAAAGTAGTAAAGTCCCTCACATTCTTTAGCACTGCCAATCGTCTTCCCCGATAATAGATCCTGAAGGACATAATGAGAAGGGAAAAAATTAGCGGAACAATTTGAGTCTTTTGTCAATTGACTAATGGACAATAAGTTGCAGGACAGGTTTGGAATAGGAGAACATTGTTTAAAGTAATTGAGTTCGAGATGCGAATACTCTCTTTTCCAGCTATTGGAGAGAGTGAGCCATCTGCAATTTTGACTTTGAGATTCCCAGCACAAGGTGAATATGTAAAAAATAGGTTGTGGGAATCCGTCATATGGTCGGACGCGCCGGAATCAATAATCCATGGTACTCGGGAAAGGGATGCGGTAATACTAAGAGCTCTTAAGAAATTACCTCTGTGCACTAGTGAACTTGTCGGACCGGATGTTTGGAAATCAGAGAACATTTTATAGAGTTGTTCTAGCTGTTTGGGATTGAATGCACCCTTTGAAGTCGAGGTTTTTATCTCAGTGGAATTGACTGCAGATTGATAGGCGTTATTTTTAGAGTTCTGTCTCGGCTTCCAGTCTGCTGGTTTTCCATGTATATCTCAACACATATTTTCATCTTGACCAGTTTTACAGCAATGGTCACACCATGGGCGTCCATTTTGTTTTGGACCCGATCCAATTTTGATTCCTCCTCTAAAATTCTAGGTTGACCCGTTAGGCCCAACTGCCTTAGGCCCATTAAAATAAGTCTTCTTAGCATTGGTGACATTCCCATCTGGCCCAACTCCATTAGACCCATATATAGGCCCAATTCCATGTAAACTTGCTGGCCCATTTAAATTAATAGAGGTAAGGGCCGACATATCACTCCCAGCCGGCCCAATCTCCTTCTTCAGCATTATGAGTCGTCGGCTCTCCTCTCGCCTAACTTCGGCGAATACTTCACGTGGCGATGGTAATTGTCGACGACCCAGTATCCTTCCTCGCACATCGTCCAATTCTCGTTTCAATTCTGCTAGAAATTCATAAACCCATTCGTTTTCCAATTGTTTTTTGTACCGAGCGCTATCTTTGGAGCAGTCCCATTCCTCCTCGACACATAAATCCAATTCTTGCCACAGATTTGTCATTTCCATGTAATAATCTGTCACATCTCTTTCTCCTTGCTTCAATTGCCAAAGCTTGGTTTTAATTTCAAAAATTTGAGAGGAGTCTTCGGCGTCAGAGTACATTTCGCGGCCGCCTCCCATATATCTCGAGCAGTTGGCATGAAGAGGTAGGTTTTACCAATTGATGGTTTCATTGAGTTCACAAGCCATTCCATGACCATGGAATTTTTGGACTTCCATCTCTTCTGAAGATTCACGTCTATAGGCTGCTTCTCATCTCCAGTAAGATATCTTATTTTGCCCTTTCCTTCGACAATTAATTTAATTGACTATGTCTATTCCCTGTAGTTTCGCCCATGAAGTTTTTCCACCAAGAGTTGGAAGGAAGAATTATCCATTCCAAATGAATTCACGGTTGGAACGACTTCTGTTTCATCTGTAACAAACTCAGAATTTGCAAAGTATTGGCTTGTGTTTTCTGCCATTGACCTGCCTTGTTTAGGCTAGAGCCGTGGCTCTGATACCATATGAGATGAATGAGAAAAAAAGATGTATTCTATATTTCTCAATAATATTACAAGTCTCCTGTGCTCAATATATAGTACAATAGGGAATGACGGGAAAGGAATGTAATCTTCTAAATAAGGAAAAAAATAAAATAAGGGAAAAACAAAATTATTCCTAACTAAACATGACAAAATATTCTAGCATCCCATAATTTTTGGATTTTGGGATTTCTTCAGAAAATCGATCTGGAAATTGCCCATGAAGGCTCAAAAAAAAAAAAAAAAAACCACACTATGATGAGATCATGAAATCAACAACGCAACATGATAATCAGCAATACACTGGTGCTTTTTGCTTCTTCGATGCAGAAATTAGTTGGTGCTATTTTATGGAAGTTGATGACTTGATTCAGATGAAGGACAAGCGAATGTCATTAGGTTGATATATCCCTTTTAGCATGGAGAGGTGAAACACTTAGATCACTTTCTTTCAAGTGCATAGGTTACGTAGGCGGTGATATTTAGATGGGTGAAAGGGCCGAGAGAAACGTCAAGGAGACCCTTTTTGCACTCAGAAGATGTGATGCCCGATGAAGGTGCAAACTAATAACCAAGTATCATAAAGCATGCATTACGTACAAGTAATTAGTACAGACACTATAATCAGAGAAATAAATAATATTGTTGGACTACCATACCTTTGGCTTAAAGTATAACGGGAGGTCCATAAAAATTGCATAGTTTTCAGTAATTGCAAAATCATGCATCATGATTGGGCCTGATACTGTTATTGGAACTGGATCATTCATTGCTCCATCCTTCGATATAACTCTGTATGTTACATATGGTGGTGTATGTGAATAGCCAAAGGTAAACATTTCTCCTGCATGCAAAGTTTTTATAAGCACCTTGGAATTATGTTTTCATGTATTCATTCTGTTTTTCTTAGGATAGCAATCACAGATTATCTGACTGAAAATTGTCATAATTTGAACATAATCGATCAAAGCATATGCACTATTAAATTATCAGTTCATTTTAAATTGAATAAAGCCAACTTGGTAATCAAGAATGATGTGTATTCGAGCTGAAAGCAAAACTGTTGCTAGCTAAATAAAAAGTGAGCTGACTATTGCAGCTAGGTAAGGAAAGGCATAAACCAATAACCTGTATTGAATAGGTCAAGGTGTGTTTAATAGACATAAAATTAATTGAATGTCAAAATATCTGCTCTACTCACAGAAGCATGTCTCTTACCGGTGAATGGATCAACCTTAGGATGAGCAGTAAAAGAATGTGCCAGTCTTTTATCATAGTCCAGCAAGCCGATAGTTTGCAGATCTCCATCTTCCAAAACTTTAATGGCATCTGTACGAGAGAAGGAATATATTAAAACAAAAAAGAAATAATGAATACTAATCTGGGGTCTCTTTATAATGAAAGTAATCTCTCACATGGCTATCCACGAGATGTAAAGCTGATACATGAGAATTTCACATTCCAGCAATAGTATCAGATTTTGGGATGATTGTTGGTGTGGAGATCATCCGCTAAAGGCACGGTTTCCTTCTTTGCATCGCATTGCCTTGGAGTCTACCGCTATGGTGAATGATGTCCTAGCCATACATAATGGAAATTATAGTTGGAATATTGCCTTCGAGAGGGGTTTGCAGGATTTGGAACTGGATGATTATGCACTGCTTTTGACCTCCTTACACGAGGTGCATATTAAAGTGGGAGAGGATGATAGGAGCAAATGGAAGTCGGGGCGGGATGGTATTTACTCAGTCTGCACTTATTTGAGATCCATATTGGGATCGACGGAGAGTTCATTTCCTTGGAAGATGGTGTGACAATGTAAAGTGCCTCCACGGGAGGCTTTCTTGTTATGGACGGTTTTGAGGAGGCAGACATTAACGGTGGATAATCTTCATAGAAAAGGTTTTTACGTTACCGAATGGTGTTATATGTGCAAGAGAGACGGAGAAACGAATGACCATTTGTTCCTCCATTGTGAAGGTGTCCGGTGGTTGTGGAACACTATTCTAACTTCCCAACATATGGATTGGGTGATGCCTAGGCGTATGGAGGATGTGTTGCGGGCATGGAGCAGAAAATTTCGAGATAAGGATAGTGGGCTTGTGTGGAACCTTTTTCCGGGATGCATTGTATGGTGTGTATGGAGAGAAAGAAACATCCGTTGTTTCGAAGACCAAGCAAAAACAACAGAGCAAATTAGAGAATGGTTTTATATGACTTTGTATACTTAGTTTAAAGCTGCAGCCACAAATTATGTAGAAGAGCTACCAAACTTTATGTCGTTTCTTTCCTGTTTAAATTGATAATACACCCCTCATGTATTATCTACTAATAAAATTACTTGATTACGTATCAAAAAAAAAAAAAAAAAAAAAGAAACTGGTTCAAACATTTAGTCTATACGATTTGCATTCTAGCTTCGTTTATCTGTCGGTGTTTTTAACTAGAAGAATACACAAAAGGAAACAAAAAAGAAATAAAAATGGATAAAATTTACCTCTGTCACGAACAAAGCATGAAATCCGTATGGAACTCTCTTGGGCAATTCAACAATGGCAACAGGATCAGGTGACATCGTTTTTGCATCAATTATGCTCACTGCCGACTTTCTGTATATGTGATCAAATATGAGTAAGGGTAAGCATACTGCATTTGGATTTGCAATACAAGTCAAGAGTCCAAGCCAAAATGACCCCAAACAGTGTATCAGAGGGAGATAGAGACAAGTACCCAGTGTTCTCATCGTGTACAAAGAAAATCAAGTAGCCATCGTCTTCTTCAGATGTAGTACCAGGATGCCGGGGAACAAAGACAGCCTCTGAACCAAATCGTCCAGGTCCCAGATCAAAGATACCTTTAACATTTCCTCCAACTTCTAAGTTTTCTTTTCCAGTCTCTGGTTCTGCATGCAAATCGAACTTGATAATCCCAGTTACCTTGGCAATCTTGTCCAGTGTTGTTCCATATACGTATCGCTGTTTCCTAGATACATAAAGCAATTGTGATTATGCAGATATCATTATAATCTAAATATGACAAAAAAAATACAGGAAATAGAGATGGAATTTAGCTAAAAAGCAATAAGGATAACATCTATCATGACAGATGCAACTGAATTTATAGTGTCATTGACCCAAAATTGCTGAATATCATTGATTTTCATGTCCAGCTTCTCCACTGAAATCATTCAGATGCAAATTCCAAATCATTAACAAAGTTTATAAGACATTTACCTCGTAGTATAACTTTCGTTCACCCTTGGAAAATCTACAGCAGATACAGATAATTTTTTCTGTGAAGCCAGACCATTTTTGAGGTTGAACCTCATCTCATACCTGATAGACATAACTAGAATGAGAATTCATCTTTCAGAAATGAAATATTATAAAGACATCTATCAGCTTTGAGCTCTCCTACAGTTCGTTTTTGAGATTCTCAAGCTTTTCTTTAACGGCGCCATTAACCATATCAAGATCTGGATTCTCAATGCGACAAGTGATAAGAACAACTTCATCTCCTTCCTCCCAAGCATTTGCTGATAAAAATAATTGAAATATAAATACATGAAATGTGTGAGGACTGGTAACATCACAACTACGGCACAAGATTCTCATCATGATATACGGATAAAACTTGAGAAATGCAAGGAATGAACACAGGAGAAATCATGCGCTCGCTCGCTCTCTCTCTCTCTCTCTCTCACTCTCTCTCTCTCACACACAAACACACACACCCTCCCACCCCCTCCCACCAGTCATTGTTGTAAAAACAAGGTAAGAAGAATCATGTAAATGATAGAATCAGAGGATGAATATGCATGTAACTGCTTGGCTTCAGATATTATCTTTTAACACCTTTGTGCAATTGTATTGGTTCTTTTAATTTAATTTGCTTATGGACTCTGTGATAGCTGATTTAGAAAATAAATTTTATTGCCTTGCTACTATCATTCTTTACCTTTGAACTGAAAATGTTTAGTTTTATCTAAATTTAACAGTAGTTGCAACCAGTGAACACATTATAGATTATCATCCATTTCAGTGTTCAAAGCTGATTGATTAAATTTGCTGATCTAAAAAAGGAGTGGCATAGACTAATAGGTCATATGGGACAATGTAATATCATTTATATTTGAAAAAATATATCCTCTTGATGATGTGGAAAGTTCAGGATTCTATATTACTAGTGAATAAATTTGAAATAGATCGTGTAATCGCTCACCTTCTAGGCTGCTACAATCTTGTTCAAATATAGTTTCTTTGCATTTTGGTTATTTTCCATTTAAGATTTTTAAAAACTCAATCACCAAACTCTGAAAAAGGTGTCACTTTAGTCACTGAACCATTTTTTAACATTTATGGTCACCAAACTAACAAAGTTGTTTCAATTAGGTCAAGACCACATATCCTTCAGTCGACTTATTGGATTTGGGTGATGTGACCAATTACGAGACTCATAAAGATAACATAAATGACATCAGGGATAAAAATCAACCAAATTAATATCCAAAATTGCCTTTGATCTCTACATCGAATGAATAAAATGATAAATGAGAGAGTTTAAAACGTTTAAATAAGTGATGTTAAACAGAAATTGTGTGTAAAAATATTTTTTTAGATTATAAATATAATCCCACTAAGGCTATCTTCTAGATAAGGAACACTGTCAGACACCTTAACGAACCCATTAATTAACAAACGGATATGTGAAGACTGAAAGGCGACTAAACTAAAATAATTGTGCAGTGTTCGGTGACTATCTATGCCAAAAAAAAAAAAAAAAGGTTTGATGACTAAAATGAGACCTTTGGAACGTTTAATGACCAAGAAGTTTTTAACTCAAAAGATTTTGATAGGTGCTGATTTGCTTCAACCGAAATTGTTTTCTCCTAGATAACAACATTGTCCTTCATGAGAAGATAAACAGTCCTGAGCAAAGCTAGAGCTCTATGTGAAATCCAAGCTAAAAAAAAAAAAACTACTGAGTGACTGACAATGTCATTATGTATTAACAAGTGAGCTTGTTCTAGTTCTTATGAAACTGATATTAGACCCTTGAAAGAGAAAAAAGTACAGGGAGCATTTTCATCTGTAAATTCTTTTAGGCACATACAAAAGCAAAGTTCCTCACCATTATGGAATATGAAGCAATTTGGAAGCTCAAACCATTTGATTAGGAGTTCATTTTTTGCATACCGCGGAAGTATGCCAAAACGAGCTTTCTGTGTAGCATCAAAGCTGAAAATAAACTTTTTATCCTTCACCATTTCCTGAAAATATGAAGATGGATAGTGAAGTATGATTATGATGAATGATTTGATCAACGAGTATCCTGGTAGGAAACCTATTTATGAGATGCCAAAAGATTCTAGGAAATGATGTTGATTTTCAAAAGTTCCAAAATCAGCAATAAGGGATCTCTTGACAGACCAAATAGAGTCAACTAGAAATTGACTTTTATGTTTATCTGAAATAGATTACAAGTCATAAAAGCTTTAAATACATTAGCAATAGTATTTTCTGTCAGTTATAGTAGTAGTACCACAACAGTAAAATTCTATTTAAAAGAAATAGATAGAAGTCACATAGAGTTTAGATAACAAACACTGATTACAATCAAGCCCAATGAGTTTTGAAAATGTTAAACATGTCAACCCTCCATCTGCTGTAGAATGTCTTGGTAAACTTTTGTGGTCAAATGGATAGTCTTATGCCTATCGTTTCACCACTTTATTTTTTTGAAAAAAAAAATGATATAAAATGATAATATTTAGTGGGAATTTTTCACCATTTAAGCCGTTTTTTGTGGGAATTAAAATTAAATTTTTAGTAGATTTTCATAAAAGTTAATAAAATGTGTAGTTAAAATGTGTGAGTTCCATAAAATATGGTTAAAATTAATTATTGATTTTGACTTAGATCCTTGATTTTAATCAAAACCACACTAAGTAACTACATAAATAAGAAACCGATTGTTTGACTGAAAAGTCAACTAAATCGTGGATAGAGGGAGTATTTGATTGACTTATATTGGAATTGAAAGGAAAAAATGAGATGAATGAGAAAAAAAGATGTATTCTATATTTCTGAATAATATTACGAGTCTCCTGTGCTCAATATATAGTACAATAGGGAATGACGGGAAAGGAATGTAATCTTCTAAATAAAGAAAAAAATAAAATAAGGAAAAAACAAAATTATTCCTAACTAAAAATGACAAAATATTCTAGTATCCCATAATTTTGGGATTTTGGGATTTCTTCACTCCCCCTCAAGTTTGATCATAGTTATTGATCATGTCCAACTTGCAAATACACTCATCAAAAGTTTGTCGATGTAGTCCTTTAGTGAAGATGTCCGCAGTCTGATCTTTGGTTGGAACGTATATCATACAAATAGTTCCATTTTCAACTTTCTCCTTCATGAAGTGTTTGTCCACTTCTACATGTTTAGTTCTGTCATGTTGAACTAGATTGAGAGATGTTGATAGCTGCTTTATTGTCGCAGTATAGTTTGATTGGGACTCTCACTGTGACTTGCAATTCTTCTAAAAGTTTCTTAATCCACAATCCTTCACATATTCCTTAGGTAGCTACTTTGAATTCCGCTTCAGCACTACTTCTAACTACTACATTATGTTTCTTACTTCTCCATGTTACCAGGTTTCCCCAAACAAAAGTACAATAGCCAGTAGCTGATCTTCTGTCTTCTATTGACCCAACCCAATCAGCATCAGTGAATACTTCTACTTCCTTCTTTCCATCTTTCTTAAAGAGAGGCCTTTTCCAGGAGAACCCTTAAGGTATTTTAGAATCTTATATACTGCCTCCAGATGAGCTTCCTTTGGTGAATGCATGTGTTTACTTACCACGCTAACTGCAAATGCAATGTCAGGTCTAGTGTGCAATAGGTAGATTAGTTTTCCAACTAATTGTTGATACCTATCTCTTTCAACAAGTTTTCCACTGTCATCTATTTTCTTGTCAGTCTCTATAGGAGTTTCGATTGGCTTGCATCCAAGCATACCAATTTCAGTTAGTAAGTCCAGAACATATTTTCGTTGTGAAACACTGATGCCCCTTTTTGATCTGGCTACTTCCATCCCCAAAAAATGTCTTGATCCCAAATCTTTCACTTCAAATTCAGTGCCTAGGCTTCTTTTTAGTCTTTCCATCTCAATTGTATTGTCTCGAGTAAGGATTATATCATCCACATATACAATCAGAATAGCTTTTGTCCCATCTTCAAATAATTTGAAAAACATAGTGTGATCTGACTATGCTTGTTGATATCCCTGATTTCTTAATACTCTTACAAATCTATCAAACCATGCTCGGGGTAACTGTTTGAGCCCATACAGTGATTTTTTCAATTTACATACCCTGTTGTCTCCATTTTCTGTATAAAAATCAGGTGGTAGTGTCATGAAGACTTCTTCCAAATTACCATTCAAGAATGCATTTTTTATGTCAAAGTTGTTGGAGTGGCCAATCCAAATTTGCTGCTAGAGATAGAAATACTCGAATTGTATTCAACTTTGCTACCGGTGCAAACGTTTCTGTATAATCTATATAATAGGTCTGAGTATACCCCTTTGCAACAAGACAAGCTTTGTACCTTTCGATTGTCCCATGTGCTTTGTATTTGACATTAAATACCCATTTACACCCTACGGGCTTCTTTCCTTTTGGTAGTTATCACATCAAATTTCGAAATCTTGGAGATAAGGTTTTATAAGCTATGAATTTAGATATAGGGTGCATGGTACATGATCGAGTTTGTTTCCTGAGAGCAATAGGCAGGTTAATGTCAGAGGTTTTAGAGGTGGTTACCTGATCGTCTAGATCTATTATCGGTTCTGACTCTTTTTGTGCCTCGAGTGTAAGGTCTTCCTTTTACTTTGACTTTGGCTTCCTTGAGTAAACCAACATCTCTTTGTCACGTTGTTCTTCTGCAACCCCCCTCCCCCCGAGTTTAAATTGTCTCATTTAGAGGATTCAATAGGACAAGGTGGTTTCGTAGGTATAGTGGTTGGGATGGATTCAGATGCAGAGAGAGTAATTTCCGAGAACCGATCTTCACTTAATTTCTCCCCCTGAAGAGAAGGTTTTTGGAAATAAGGAGTTTTTTCGAAAAATGTGACGTCATAGCTGATGAATACATTGTTTGTGGTGGGATCATAGCATTCCCTTCTGTGTGGGTGAATAACCAATGAATACACACCTAAGTGCACGAGGGGCTAGTTTGTTTCAATGATGAGAGTGGATATGTACAAATGTTGTACACCCAAACACTCTTAAAGGTATGCTTGATTGTAGGGGAGATTCGAGATTGAGGATACGACTAGGCATTCGCTTTATAAGATAAGCTGATATTAAAATGGCATCCTCCAAAATTTTGTAGGCATTTTTGTAGTGAACATTAGGGCATGGGCAACCTCAAGTAAGTGTCTATTTTTACGTTCAGCAATCCCATTTTGTTGAGGGGTATCGTCGCAAGAACTTTGGTAGATTATCCCATTTTCTTGAAGGTAGTTATTTAGGGTATTGTTGAAATATTCAGTCTCGTTATCAGTGCGCAGAATTTGGATTGTGGTTTGAAATTAGGTCTTTACCATCAAGTGGAAATTTATAAACACTGACCGGACTTCAGTTTTTTCTTTTAACATATAGATCAAGCAAATTCGTGTATGGTCGTTGATAGATGTGACAAACCATTTTGTGTGGGTGCGATTAGGGATTCGTGAAGGTCCCCATACATCACTATAAATCATGGTAAATGATTTGGATGACTTGTATGTGGATTTCGGGAATGAGGAGCGATGGTGTTTTGCGAGTTGACACATTTCACACTGAATCTCTAAAGAACTTTATTCGAGAATATTGAAGAAAATACCTGTTTTAAGTATTGAAATTTGGATGCCCCATTCTATAATGCCATAAAAGAATGTCGCTATCCATGGGAATAAATGCAGAATCACAACTAGCAAATTTACATTGTTTACTCACATCCGTCTCGTCAAAGTAGTAAAGTCCCTCACATTCTTTAGCACTGCCAATCGTCTTCCCCGATAATAGATCCTGAAGGACATAATGAGAAGGGAAAAAATTAGCGGAACAATTTGAGTCTTTTGTCAATTGACTAATGGACAATAAGTTGCAGGACAGGTTTGGAATAGGAGAACATTGTTTAAAGTAATTGAGTTCGAGATGCGAATACTCTCTTTTCCAGCTATTGGAGAGAGTGAGCCATCTGCAATTTTGACTTTGAGATTCCCAGCACAAGGTGAATATGTAAAAAATAGGTTGTGGGAATCCGTCATATGGTCGGACGCGCCGGAATCAATAATCCATGGTACTCGGGAAAGGGATGTGGTAATACTAAGAGCTCTTAAGAAATTACCTCTGTGCACTAGTGAACTTGTCGGACCGGATGTTTGGAAATCGGAGAACATTTTATAGAGTTGTTCTAGCTGTTTGGGATTGAATGCACCCTTTGAAGTGGAGGTTTTTATCTCAGTGGAATTGACTGCAGATTGATAGGCGTTATTTTTAGAGTTCTGTCTCGGCTTCCAGTCTGCTGGTTTTCCATGTATATCTCAACACATATTTTCATCTTGACCAGTTTTACAGCAATGGTCACACCATGGGCGTCCATTTTGTTTTGGACCCGATCCAATTTTGATTCCTCCTCTAAAATTCTAGGTTGACCCGTTAGGCCCAACTGCCTTAGGCCCATTAAAATAAGTCTTCTTAGCATTGGTGACATTCCCATCTGGCCCAACTCCATTAGACCCATGTATAGGCCCAATTCCATGTAAACTTGCTGGCCCATTTAAATTAATAGAGGTAAGGGCCGACATATCACTCCCAGCCGGCCCAATCTCCTTCTTCAGCATTATGAGTCGCCGGCTCTCCTCTCGCCTAACTTCGGCGAATACTTCACGTGGCGATGGTAATGGTCGACGACCCAGTATCCTTCCTCGCACATCGTCCAATTCTCGTTTCAATCCTGCTAGAAATTCATAAACCCATTCGTTTTCCAATCGTTTTCTGTACCGAGCGCGATCTTTGGAGCAGTCCCATTCCTCCTCGACACATAAATCCAATTCTTGCCACAGATTTGTCATTTCCATGTAATAATCTGTCACATCTCTTTCTCCTTGCTTCAATTGCCAAAGCTTGGTTTTAATTTCAAAAATTTGAGAGGAGTCTTCGGCGTCAGAGTACATTTCGCGGCCGCCTCCCATATATCTCGAGCAGTTGGCATGAAGAGGTAGGTTTTACCAATTGATGGTTTCATTGAGTTCACAAGCCATTCCATGACCATGGAATTTTTGGACTTCCATCTCTTCTGAAGATTCACGTCTGTAGGCTGCTTCTCATCTCCAGTAAGATATCTTATTTTGCCCTTTCCTTCGACAATTAATTTAATTGACTATGTCTATTCCCTGTAGTTTCGCCCATGAAGTTTTTCCACCAAGAGTTGGAAGGAAGAATTATCCATTCCAAATGAATTCACGGTTGGAACGACTTCTGTTTCATCTGTAACAAACTCAGAATTTGCAAAGTATTGGCTTGTGTTTTCTGCCATTGACCTGCCTTGTTTAGGCTAGAGCCGTGGCTCTGATACCATATGAGATGAATGAGAAAAAAAGATGTATTCTATATTTCTCAATAATATTACAAGTCTCCTGTGCTCAATATATAGTACAATAGGGAATGACGGGAAAGGAATGTAATCTTCTAAATAAGGAAAAAAATAAAATAAGGGAAAAACAAAATTATTCCTAACTAAACATGACAAAATATTCTAGCATCCCATAATTTTTGGATTTTGGGATTTCTTCAGAAAATCGATCTGGAAATTGCCCATGAAGGCTCAAAAAAAAAAAAAAAAACCACACTATGATGAGATCATGAAATCAATAACGCAACATGATAATCAGCAATACACTGGTGCTTTTTGCTTCTTCGATGCAGAAATTAGTTGGTGCTATTTTATGGAAGTTGATGACTTGATTCAGATGAAGGACAAGCGAATGTCATTAGGTTGATATATCCCTTTTAGCATGGAGAGGTGAAACACTTAGATCACTTTCTTTCAAGTGCATAGGTTACGTAGGCGGTGATATTTAGATGGGTGAAAGGGCCGAGAGAAACGTCGAGGAGACCCTTTTTGCACTCAGAAGATGTGATGCCCGATGAAGGTGCAAACTAATAACCAAGTATCATAAAGCATGCATTACGTACAAGTAATTAGTACAGACACTATAATCAGAGAAATAAATAATATTGTTGGACTACCATACCTTTGGCTTAAAGTATAACGGGAGGTCCATAAAAATTGCATAGTTTTCAGTAATTGCAAAATCATGCATCATGATTGGGCCTGATACTGTTATTGGAACTGGATCATTCATTGCTCCATCCTTCGATATAACTCTGTATGTTACATATGGTGGTGTATGTGAATAGCCAAAGGTAAACATTTCTCCTGCATGCAAAGTTTTTATAAGCACCTTGGAATTATGTTTTCATGTATTCATTCTGTTTTTCTTAGGATAGCAATCACAGATTATCTGACTGAAAATTGTCATAATTTGAACATAATCGATCAAAGCATATGCACTATTAAATTATCAGTTCATTTTAAATTGAATAAAGCCAACTTGGTAATCAAGAATGATGTGTATTCGAGCTGAAAGCAAAACTGTTGCTAGCTAAATAAAAAGTGAGCTGACTATTGCAGCTAGGTAAGGAAAGGCATAAACCAATAACCTGTATTGAATAGGTCAAGGTGTGTTTAATAGACATAAAATTAATTGAATGTCAAAATATCTGCTCTACTCACAGAAGCATGTCTCTTACCGGTGAATGGATCAACCTTAGGATGAGCAGTAAAAGAATGTGCCAGTCTTTTATCATAGTCCAGCAAGCCGATAGTTTGCAGATCTCCATCTTCCAAAACTTTAATGGCATCTGTACGAGAGAAGGAATATATTAAAACAAAAAAGAAATAATGAATACTAATCTGGGGTCTCTTTATAATGAAAGTAATCTCTCACATGGCTATCCACGAGATGTAAAGCTGATACATGAGAATTTCACATTCCAGCTTTATGACAAAATAAAAAGGCAAAAGGCGGAAAACCACACAAAAATGATAGGATCGTGAAAATTCAAGTTCGCAGAAAAAGATACTTCTATAGAATGAAGATAAAAAGCTTACATGGTTTATCTGCCTCGCTAAGTGCCAAAAGCTTTCCATGGTGATATACTAGAGCTGTATTAGCTGGCAGAAAAGTAACAATATATAATCAGCAATTCACAAACAGAAGTAAACAGAAGATATGAGATGGACGTTTCCTAGATTTATAAAGTTAATTGTGATATCTACGATTTTAAAACTTGAAAAAGTAAAAGCTGGAAAAACTGTGTCTAGGTGTGAGAAAACTTGATTGACCTACCTGTAGATTGCCGAAACAACACTACAGGTTTGTCTCTGACTGAAATTGTATTTACTAATAAATACATGTATTGTTTACCAAGTTTTGCCATTGACTCTAATAAAAAGAGAGGGTGTAAGGTGTAAGATATGCAAAGCCAGATTCGCAGTGGGAAAGCATAAATATCTGACCCACCTGTACCATTCCCATAGGACATATCTAATACATTTAGTTTTTCTCTGAGCATTTGCATGTTAACCATGAGCAATCCAAACACCCCTTTCAGGTCTCCAATCTGCAAATAACGTGCACAGGATAATGCAGCGAAAGGAAGAGATATAAAATGGATATAGGATCATATTTATGAAACCAACCATCACATTTGCTCAAAGAAAAATAAAAAGAGAACAATCAAATGGGGGTTAATTTGGAGACATATCCAGCTCTATCATTCTCTCAAATAAAAATTAAAAGTGAGAAGGAAAAAGAGAGCTATCAAGTATCAAATGCTAATTAATTTTGAGACATGTCCAAATCCAGTCAGTCAAATATAAGCTTCAGGTTACTCCCAGTTATCAATTATATGCTATTTACTTTATCAACACAAACAATTTTTAAGATCTTTGAGCACGTTGAGTTGTCATTTTAAGTAAATTCTAAGTGGGGGTGATTACTGATTCTGCCAATTTGAGTAAGTAAATCCATTAATTTAAGTTTCGTTCAAGGCATTGACTAGGCTTATTAATAGTTCATTGAACTGAATCTCTTCATTTCTTTTAGAAATGAGTTTCTTCATTGGTGTTTGGGGTTCAAAAAACTTTGATGAGCATTCGGTTGACGATAAGTGTGTGGCTGTCAGTATAGCATAACCCTTCTAGCCTCTTCGTACCTTCATTTGGAATAAGAGAGTACGATCGACTTTGAGATGTCTATTTTTCTGTTCTGTCACTCTCATGACAAGTGATGTACAATGCTTTTACGGGTCAAGGAACTTGTCAACTCCTTGTTAACATGGGAAATAGGAAAAACTAGCCAAAGTCAAATCTAGCAACCTCCCAGTTCTGGTACATCTGGTCCCTTTTAATGGTTCAATGATGTCCCCGTTGATAACTTTAATTTCCCTTTGCCTTTTAGAGATCTAGATAGACAGAGGAATCCATAAAATTTCTCTCATTCGATTTGGAATTAGCAAAGTGTATGATTTTCAGAGTAAATAGACAACTCAATACTAGAAGATCCTGGTGCAGTGGTGCAAGTAGGTTTAGGTACTTCAGACATGTTGGGCAAACGTGAATGAGATGAAGATTAACAAAGTTTGATAACAGGACCAGCAATTGCTAATGATGATCGTGAAGGAAAACAAGCACAGAAAGTGAAAAAAAAAAGGACGCTAAAAACCATGACAGGAATTAATCACAAAGAAAACTAAACAGTGATGAAGCCACGGATTTGAAATTGACTACAATGAAGACCATCACGAAAAAACAACAATGAAGGCTTTCAGAAATCCCAAAGAACTATTATGACTCTGATATTATGTGAAATTTGAGGAAGATTGAATTCTGATTCTGATCCAAGTAGAAATTACAAAGATAAATATAATGTAAGAATTGACTTCTAGAAAGCTTAACAGTAAACCATCCTATCGTCCTCAAAATTGAGGGAAAATTAGCAAATATCACACTCTATATGAATAGCTTATTTGTAGAAACAAATCAAATTCAACTATACTAACATACAGAAGTTTCTGAGTGACATCAATGATAACAATAACAATAGAAAGACATTACCTTCGACGGAAGACATTTTATTGTCAAATTCGGGAATTGTTGTTAGATGAAAGTAAGTCTTACGGCATTTAAGCTAATCCAATGAATACCTTCATAAACATAGCTCTGCCAAAAAACTCTTCTTGTTTAAAACGAGATGTCTTCACATAACGCGAAACATATGTTGCTTTTCCATCTTTTATGTGCATACCATGAATCATTCTGCAGAAATATGCCATTTTTTTAAGTTTATAGTCAATCACTATATGATTGCTCCAACAATCAAACACTCCTGATATTTAAATAAGTTGAAATATCAATGGGCGAAAAGAGACTACCAAACTATAACATTTCCGAAAGGAAAAATATAACTAAATTTCAAACAAACAAATGTCATGTCCTCATAAGCTAAGATGCTGATGCAACAAAACTTAATGCTGAAATGGAAATAAAATAAATTAGAAGTATGTAAGAACACATAAGTTAGACTGCAACTGCACATATATAAATGCCATCATGTATCTGCAGTAAGGAGGCTTATCCACCCGGATAAAAAAAAAGAAAAATTCCTACACCACAAGTGGCAGATAGATCCACTTAGTAATTTTCTATTTTTAAAATAGATGTAAAGGTTTAGAAAAGGATGATATCCTAGTGATTAAATCATTTCAATAAATTTCTTAATTGAACTGAATGTCGTTGCTTCATTCAGAGAAAAAAAGTGAGGATAAGAAACAGATGGTAAAGCTAACTCTTATCAAGTATGATAGTAAGCTCTGAAAGATTTGTGAAATGCCGAATAACCAAGATTTGACGAGGATTTACAACCTTGGTGATCAGCTAAGTATAACTGTTGGGATTTAGGAACATATGATTATTAAAACTTGAAATAATCTGTTCTACAAAATTCAAGATCAAAACCCAAAAATTTGATTTGTCTTTCGAGATTGAAGAAACAAGCTACATTATTTTTTTCTTGGTTTTTATTGGTTCTCTTCTTTAGATTTATTTCTGATTGAAAAGAAAACACCACTTTGAGCTCTAACCCCCAGACAACACAGTTTGGATTCAGCAGAAAAACCTTTTCCTTCAAATGGATTTTTATTTAGCACAATTAAAGAATCCAATAATTTCATGTAAGTCTATTGTGTACACAGTAGATCATACAATACCATGCAAAAAGGAGGCATTTTCATGGATGCCCAATGCAGTCTAGACACTATTGCATAGCAAAACATGGAAATAGCCAAATAGGTTCTTCTAGCAAATAAAAATATTGCAATCAACTATAAATGATCTGCAATCTTATGTCAAAAGATTTGACACATACAAGGAAGTTTAAGCTATTTGCAGGGGAAGAGTAATAGAGAAAATTAAATTTAAAGACATCATCCCAAGAGATGAACCATGAATGATAGATACGCACCCATCTCCATCGAACCTGCAGACATAATAAATAAATTTAAAAAAAAAAAAAGAGAGAGAAAGAACAGATGAGATTAGACAAAATTCTCTATCAAAATACAAGAACTAGAAAATCTCGCTCATAATTGCAAACAGAAATCAAAGCGTAAGATAAAATTAAGAAACCACGTGCAAAATGACGCAAGTAATTCAATTTTAGGCATTCCAGTGGATTAAATTCTCAGAAAAGGGCAAGAGAAGACCATATGAAACTCTAAAGTAAAAAATTTAAGAAAGATAAAGGATCTACCAATGACATCCTGCAATTGGAGTAAACTTGTGGTTAGGACCAACCCTCACAAATTCACCATTCAGACACTCCTGCAACCAAAAAAAAAAAAAAAAAAAAAAAATAAAATAAAAGGCAGAAGAAGAAGAAAAAAAAAAAAAAAAATTTAAAAAAAAAAATGCCAGAAATTGGCACGAATATCTGAACA